GAGTGGCACTGTCCAGAGTTTTTCCAACCCGAGGAATGACCTTCCATTGATTTCCCAACCCTGTGCACCCTGCAGCATAAATGAAGTATACTATTAAAGACTCTATTTTCTTATTTACTTATTTATTTATTTTTTGTGGTACAGGGGATCGAACTTGAAATCTTGTGCTTGTCAGGCATTGCCTATGTCACTGAGCTATATCCCTGGCCCCAAGTATGCTATTAAAGAGAACAGGTTTTCAGAAGAGAAAAAAAATGAGAAATTAGTTTTGATGATTGAATCCAATGATCAATACTTTATTACTGCAGATATATGGAGAGCAAATAAGTACTTGAAAAGATGTACAACAACACAAATTATTACAAAAATGTACAATAAAAGTGCAATGAGATACTATGATGGACCTATTGGAATGATCAAAATGTAAAAAGACTAACAGAAGGTGTTACCAAGGATATGGAAAATCTGAGAACTCACATAGTACTAGTCTGAATATAAAATGATACAATAACAAATGCTGGCGAGGAGTAAGGGAAAAAGAACAACTCTACATTGCTGGTAAGAATGTAATACAGCACAATGACTATGAAAATCAATATGAAGATTGCTCAAAAAGCTAAAAATAGAAATTTGATTTAATACACTATTCCCCTTTACAGGCATTTTGCTAAGAGTTAAAAACACCCTATTACAGTGATACACGCACACCCAGTTTAGAGCAGCATGACTGATCATAGCTGAAGCCTGGAACAGCTGTCTATGCCCATCAGCAGATAAACAGATAAAGAAAATGTGATACGTAACACAAAATGGGGCACTACTCTACCATAAAGACAAGTTTGAGTCATGTGTACAAAAATGGATGCACCTAGAGACTACTAGTAAAATAAAGCAGGAAACACAAGCTTAAATATCACATGGTTTCTTTTATATGAAAAACCCAAAAGTTGAAATAAAGACCAAAACAAAACATAGATAATAGCTTTCTCAAATGGGAGAGGAATCAAGAGATGGGTATACGGGGAAAGGAAGGAAAAAAGGAATTAAGAAGTGTTATATACCTATTCCAACTCCACACAAGGAATATAAACATATACTAATGTACTACAAACATATACTAATAAAAACAAATTTTAAAAATACAATGTTGAATTTGAAATCTATTTGATATATAAATTGGGAATCAACTAGGGAACTAAGTCTACTGTTCTATAATCTGGCTTAATAATACAAATTTGGAAGTCAGCACATAAAAGGAATGTTTAAAGTCAACTATGCTTGAATAAAGCAGATAATACTCAATATTAGTGGAATGAACCAAAGTTCTAAGTGATTTATTAATTTCATCTTAATGTCAACCCTATGAAATAAGATCATTTCCATTTTGAAACTAGAATGAAGGACAATGACTCGCTCAAGATCACACAGCTAGAAATTACAGCTGAAGTTCAGTAAGAGCTAATATTAAAAAACAAACAAGGGCCTGTGAGATAGCTCAGTGGACTAAGCACCTGCTTTGGCAAGTACAGGGACCAGGGTTTGATCCTGTCCTGCATGCAGTGCCCTCCCCCACCCCCAGGGCATGCTGGGCCAGCAACAGAGTCCAGGCATGGTGGCATATGCCTGTAATCCCAGCGCTGGGGAGGCTGAAAACAGAAGGATCACTATGCGTCTGAGCTGCGTAGTGAGACCCCATACCAAATATATAAAATGAAGAAAAATAGTATGAGGTTTATTAGTGATAATGACCCTATGAAAAAACTGAAGTCACATATTCCTACACTGGTGCCGGCTAGATAGCTCAGTGTTTGTCTAAAGCACCTACTTAGGCAAACTTAAGGCAGGTACAGGGAACTGCAGATTCATCCCCGGCACCCGCCCTCAGGGCAGGCTGAACTGGCAAAAAAAAAAGACACATTCCTATACTATTAAGTAATAAAATAACCCAAAAGCTACAACTCTTGTTGCATAGGTTCTGCTTTACCTTGGTCTTAACCATCCAGCAAAAAAGTATAAAAACGAAGTATAAGAAGTAAAGCCATGCTGTTATGTTGAGCTGTAGGGGACTCAGGTCAACAATTTCTGACATTGCCAGTCAAGCAGAAGACCCAATACTACTATGGACTACTGGACTCTTTTAGAATATTTTGCTGAGTTTACACACCTATAATATTCAAATAACGGAACTTAACAAAAAAAGGGATACAGATGAATGTCCATTTTGTATCTGTGTATGCAAAGTGGTTAGGATAGATATATAGTTACATTCTCTTAATGAATACAGGGATTTGTTCTAATGGTGTTTGGAAATAGGATATCATGTCCGCATCTTGTACAGCAATTAACCACTAGGAAGAATGTATGCAATGTGTTATTGAAATTGTCCTACCAATTTGATTTGAAACTGTCTCATTGCTATTTGTTTCTCAATAAAATTAAGGGAAAAAAGTAATAAAATAGCCAATAATAAATATGAAAAAATCTCCCAGTCATAACAGACCATTACTGACTTCCCTCAAATTGTGTATATATTAAACTCAATGCAATTTAAAAGCTACAGAAATTAAAAGCTGCTATCCAAGTACTATATTATTGTCATATGAAAACTTCTAAAAGAAAAAGGCAGGACATTTTTAAGCTGGTTATTTCATTTGAGGTAGAAACTGAAGGACACAAAAATCTAATGAAGATGTTAAACTAAGGAGCAAAAAAGTTCAACATCAGCAAACATCAGAAGTTCCTACTCTAGAAAAATGTCATTTGAATTTCAAGGATATACCTTCATTGCATCTTAATTTTAACCTTTAAAAAAAGAAAAAGAAAACGTATAAAGGTTAAAATACTGTGTCAAATGTTACAATAAAAAATGTATAATTGGATACATAAAAGACCATTCTTTGTTATTTAAAAATGTATCCTGATAAGCCTCAGACAGACATAAATACCAGATTCTCGTCACTTAGGTTCATGATAAGCTAAAATAATAAGTGCCACACAAGCATTTATTCTACTGAGCCATCTCCCCAGCCCCAACAACTTTTATCTTGACTTACATAAAACCCTAACATATTTGAAGATCTTTAACAACACCTCAGGAAATACGTTGAGTTTTATTCTACTGATCTGCATCTTATTGCACTAAATCAAAAATAGAATAGCTTTTTTAACCTTTTCAAGCAGAGCTGACCACAAGTGGACCAACTTCAAAAACCATTTGAAGAAAGAGGGGAAGAAACGCTAAAGACGAGGTCAACAATCACATCCTATCTTTCTCCATGCTCTCATAAAGGTTAAGGGGAGAGATGGGTTTCTATGACCTAAGTAGTTAGTAAGTCACAAATTTAATTTGTGGTTAGTAATCACAAATTAAACTTTCTCAATTTTCTTTATAAAAGCTAACTTACAACCATCTTGACCACATTTGAGGAAAATTCAACCAATTCACTTTAACAATAACCTGCTAAGAACCCATGAAGAAAACCTGAGATTTTCCAAAATTTACTTCGGATCCCCCCAAAATGCTAGTAGGACTCTAGAGTGTCACTACTTGTGAAATTACACATTGAAAGTTTTCAATAAAATTATGTGCTGAAAAGTTCAATGAACAGTAAATATCAACACCCACCCAACTAGCATAATTTATCACCAAGATCTGAGAATTCTATTTCCAATTTGTTCCATTTTGGTCCATTCCTACTACTTTATATCAAGACACTTCAAATCTTGTTTAAATTATTACAGCAGTCTCTTAGCCAGCCTTTACATAGCCCTATGATCCTACATACAGTAGCCAAAACTGTTCAAACACAAAGTTCAAACTTCTAAAAATGTCTTTATAAGGCTCTTTATAATATGACGTGTTCTATTTTCCATACTTTACTCTTTACTACTACTACTTCACTCCCACCCAATATACAAATACCACAAATATGTGTTTTCCCATATATATACAGTATAAGAGGTGTGATCAAAATATATGGAATATGTTTAAATTAGGAAAGTTATTTATAGTAGAAGACATACAATCATAAAACCCTGTCAAAACACTCCCTCTCATTTTTAACACACTTATACCATCAATCTTGCCACTTTCTGAAGCAGTTCTGGAAGTCCTCTTTCACAAGTGTCTTTATGAGGTACAATTAAAAAAATGGTGAATGTTACTGTCCAATGTCATCCAACAGAAAGGCAAGTTGTAAAAAACACTACAGTGTGGCCTACTCTACCTCTATCAATAGCTCTAACACCACATAACCTCCAGTCCTTTCACAAAATCAAAAAAACTATGAAAACATTTTCAATCAATTCAGGACATTAAAGGAATCAAACAAAACTGCACAACTTAAAGACACAAAGATTTCTACTGCTTCTTTAGGAAGTGGCAAAAATGTTGGGATACATGTGTTCAAAGCAAGGGGACATACCGGGGAGGAAGTTAAGATAGGGAGTTAATCACAATTTAATAATTCTTAAATTTAAACACTCACCATACTTTTGGGTCACAACTTGTACCTTTGCCAGTTATCTGTAGTGCCCCCAAAGAAAAAGCCACCCTTAAAGTTTTCTAACTGCTCCCTCTGTACTTGCTCCTTTCTGACCAAACTGTTTTCTCTACCTCACCCTTTTTTTCTGGTGGGGGGAGCTAACTGACTCATTCTAAAATCTGATTTTAATGCGGAATCCTATGTGACACCTTCTTTGGCCAAGTTTTCCCCACGTAGCCCAACCCATAGAACAACACACCCTGAATTTACTCTCCATACAGCAATTCTCTTTCAACTATCAGTTGTCATTTGCCTAACTTTCCACCCTAATACCAGGTAGCTGAGGGGAGAGGATGATGTCTTACTTAGTTCTATGCTCTCACACTCTAGCTCAATGCAAGACTCTAGCTCAATGCCTGAGTCAAATAAGCAGCTGAGCAAATTCACTGAGTAAATACATGATCATGGTAAGAGGACACAGTGGTTTAGAAAACTTTAATTAAAGGGATAACATACCTGTCTTTCCAACTCTTGTCCTGTTATACCAGCCTCTACATGAGCTGTGAGGTTGTTCTCATCCACCCAGAGAATTCGATTCTGTTGAAAAGGAAGACAGAACTCTCACCTCTAGGAACTAGTAAGCAAAACGTTACAAGGTAGAGATTAAGCAAGTAGGGTTTCCTGTTACCACCCACATAGGAAAGATGCTCAACCTATCCCTTACTATATAACATGCCACAGTAACAAAGGCAGTGTATGATGCAGGAGTTGGTTTGAAGCACAGACTCTTCTTTATGCACATATTAATCTGAATTAATATTAATCTGAACTAAATTTCACTTCTTAGTTTATGCAAGTAATTATCTTGGCCTGACACACATATTAATTATTAATATAAATATCTTCATAAGTTATTTTGTAGTACTAAAAACAGACTTCTTAACTGGGCCTGAGGGCACATATCTAAAATCCCAGTACTTTGAGCAGGAGCATAGCCTATGCAAGTTAACATCTCAAAAATCTCTCATCTCAAAATAAACAATAAAAAAAATGGTAGGGAGTCAGTGTGAAGGTCCTGGGTTCAATTCTCAATTGTTGGACAACAATGAGTCTAATCTTTAGAATGTAATCCTACCAAAATTACATCTTTCACAAATCACCACACAAAAATATGACATCATAAGTGTAAGTTTGGGAGAGAAGCAAGTTTGGGTTATTCAAATTAACTTAATATCTGTTGTTTCTAATAACAGAAACCAAGTCATCTAACATGTTAATATTCCAATTTACGCTTCTCAAATGATCAATTTCACATGCTAACTCATAGTATCAAGATATGTACCTTAGCAAAAAGAACTCAGCTTTTGCATACCTGAAGGCTAAAATATGATAAAATATATTGAAACAAAATGGAAATCTTTGGGGCTGGTGAGATGGCTGAGTGGTCTAAAGCACCTACTTAGAACAAGCTTGGCAGAGCACAGGGACCGCAGTTCAATTCCCCAGCACCACATGCCAGCCAGCCTCGCCCCCTGGTGGGCTGAGCTGGCCACACACACACACACACACACACACACATAAATGAATAAAATTTAAAAAAAAAAAACAAAATAGAAATCTTTTTAAAATGACAACTGAAGCAGAGTCCTAAAGACAATGTTTTACACACAAATTATCTTCAAATACATCTTAATTATATACCATTTGTGAAGTATCCAAAGAAATTATTGTTCTTCTCTCATCTGCAGGGCACATGAGGCCATACGAAACACTTGTTCCTCCTGCCAAAATGGGAAGCAACAAGTTTATTTTTAATGTATTTGACTTTCAGCTACACTTCTAGGGTAAATCTCTAAAAATATATAGTTAGACCCACTATGATAGTCACACCTATTTCTATTGCAAAAAACAGTTTGCAAAAGCTAACAAGCTAAAAGCAAACTCACCTTTATTTTTATGCTGTGTGCCAAAATGAAGCAGTATTATGGAACTGAAAGCAATAGGACATGGCTCCATCCCCTGGACATGACACACTCAAGTGAAGTCCCTAGCAATTTGTAGAACTCCAAAAACATAATTAGAAAAGTTCTAAACTAATGATTATTGTGAAAAAGTAACTTGAAAAAGCAAGACTCATCATATACAACTAAAGATACTATTAAGTCCTTTCCACCTTTATGAAATTCAGTTATCATTTAAAGTAACATACTTTCACATAAAAATATTTTAATAGAATAGAAACAAGTTAGAGTCTAAACATTTAAACACAATTTTTATATTATTTGATGAAAAAGTGTTTTTAATACAAACAATGAGTAGCATATTGTTGTTCTCGCTTAACACAGCCGTCAAACAAAAATGTTTTCTTAATACAAATAAAGAATGCTTTTAGTTAACTACATCTGCAGCACCCTGTATCAGAATAAAATTTTAACTGGTACTTCCATACATTTTATATGGGAGAAAATATGTGGAGGTCACCTTCCCTAAGAAGGGAAGTGTTGATTCAGGGTTATCTGGGAGTGCGTAATTTATTGGTAAGAATAGTTTAATTCACAGTACCAGACCACGAATTGCCAGTTAGGAACATAATAGCTTTGATCAGTAAATATTTGCTTGTACTATCATCTACAATCAAAAAATGTTTCATAAAGTGGCAGTACAGGGCCTTGTTTTAATTTCCTGTAGTATCGTTTGCATGAACTCAACAGACAGTGGCGCTCCAACAACTGCTGAGCTCCCATTCCCATTCCATCAGTGCTAATTTTGTCACTGCAGGTGAAATATATTAGATGAAGTTTTTAAAAATTTATCACAGTAAAAAATATATTACTGTTAATCCCTCAGAACCCTCCTCTGAAACTTCAAACACACTTATACATTACTGTTAATCTCTTCAGAACCCTCCTCTTTGCTTCAAAAACACTTATCTTTCTTCTCATCTTCTGAAGCAGCTCTAAAACACACCATCTTTCATGAGTATCTTTGGTTGGTGCTCTCACGGCTGCCTTGATCCCTGATTAAATTTAATCATGGTCATTTTGACTTTGGAGAGAAGTCAAAAGTTACAATGCACCAGGACCAGGAAACAAGGTAGATGAAAACATACCATAATGTTTTTATTTCACAGAAAAAAATTTTTAATCAATTGTGGACATTGAGGCACCCATGATAGTGCAATCAGAGATACTCATGAAAGAGTACTTCTAGAGCTGCTTCAGAAAGTGGAATGATATAAGTATGAAATGAGGAGTATTTTGAGGGGGATTAATGCAATGTGTCTTTTCAGGATAATTTCTTTTTTAATTTAAACATGTGTAATCTGATTACATCAAATAAGTTGTTAAAACAATGTAGTTCAAAAAATGTAGTTAATAGAAGATCAAAACAACTCAAATTCATTTTAAAATGCAAAATAGTATTATTTTTCTGTATTAAAAAATATTGATTTGTTCATCACTGTACCAGTGATCTTTTTTGTCTTTTTCTTTTTTCATATCAGAAATCGAATTTGGGACCTTGTGCTTACCTGGAAGGTTCTGTGCCACTGAGCTGTATCCCCAGCCCCTGATGATTTTGTTTTTCAATTTTTATTTATTTGGTACAGGGTCTCACTACACAGTTCAAACTTGTAGTGATCCTCCTGTCTCAGCCTCCCCAGCACTGGGATTATAGGTGTGCACCACCACACACAGTTACAGGGCCAGCACACCATACCCTGGTGATTTTTTTTTTTTTTTTTTTTTTTTGCGGAACCAGGGATTGAACTCAGGTCCTTGCGCTTGCCAGGGAAGCGCTTATTCCACTGAGCCATCTCCCTGGCCCCAACACTGGTGATTTTTTAATCTGCACGTCTTCTGATTACTCTGTTTCTCAAAAAATTATAATAGGTATAATATTTACCCTTTGAAAAATAAAATTCTCTCTAAATCAAGAACTTTTTTTATTTCTTTTTACACTGAGCTACATCTGTTTATTTGTATTTTGAGATGGAGTTTTACTTAAGTTGTTAAGTTGCCCAGGTTAAGGCTAAACTTGTATCCACCTGTCTGTCTCTGCCTCCCAGAATGGTAGGACTGCAGGCATGCACCACCATGCCTGGCTAGGAGCAACTTCTCGGTCAGCCATTATAAACAGCTTCAACTGTACATACAAGAAAAATCCATGAATTAAGGGTTATAAGATGTCTCAAACAGTTTAGGTAGAATTTCTCAGAGCAGAAATGAACACCATAAATCAATTTTTAGAAATAACTACATCATAAATACAAAAATATTTCTATTCAGGAGATGACATGAATATTTTAAAAAGAACTATTTATATCATATTAAATTTTGAAAAGCACAATACCTACCGCCAATTGGTATAATACAAAGGTTGTATTTGCATGCTAGATTCACAATCTTAACTACATCATCATGACATGCTATTGAAAGAAAAAGAAAACAAAGTAATTACTGGGATGTGATTTCTATCTGGGTAACCTTATAATACAAGGGTTTATACAAAGTTCTTCAGCATGTAAATTTTTCCTTCATTTATTCACTGATTAACAAACAGCTGTATTAAAAGATGGGTTTTTTTTCTAACCTTTCATTTTGAAATAATTTCAGACTTACAAAAAAGTCATAAAAATAATAAAGATTTCCTTTAATTTCCAAACATTAATATCTTACAAGATATCTTATGTAATGTTGTCAGTTACAGCATATCAAATCCAAATACACATACTTAGCTATCATATTTTCATTAAAAATAGAGATTTTCTATGCTGTAAAGTCCTGGTTTCAATCCTAATTCTACAAAAACAGATAAATATTTCCTGAGTCTAGTAAAATATGTGTGTGTGTATGTGTGTGTGTGTGTATATGTAATTTTTCTGGACTATGGACTATGCTCTATAACGTCCAGTATTAGTTACTAGGATCCTAGCAAAGAAATACAGATGTTAAGAAAACTAGACATAATAATGTACATTTATGAAAGCAAAAATTATGCTATATAAATACTGCTATTATTATTTCTCAGCTACCATAAAGCTATAAATACATGTCATTCATCTTTTTTGAGGGGGTTCTACAGATAAAACCCAGGGTCTCACATATGCTAAACAAGCATTTACCACAGAGCCACACACCCAGCCCATTCTAATTTTTTACAAAATTCATTTTCAAATTTTCAGATTACTTGTAATAAAAAATTTTATGAATTATACATTAATACAACACTAGAATTTATCTGTTAAAAATCTCTAAAAGACAAAGCTACATTCTGTGAAGGCCAGCTAACCAAGAGATATCCCTGATCATTGTATCTGAAACATCACAACCCATCTACCTATTACCCACTGTTTTCCATTGTATTTTCTTTTTCTTTTTTGGTACTGGGGATCCAATTTAGGATCTTGAGCTTCCCAGGCAAGCATTTATGCCACTGACCTATTTCCCCAGCCCTCCATTATATCTTCTTGCATGATTTATTCTTGCTATCACTATCATAATGCTGTGTATTTGTATGTTCCCACCACTAAATCCCAGTCACCTAAGAATGGGTATTTCTTTATTTTACTCATTGTTATCCTTAGTAACTGGAACAGTAACTAGTCTGTATTTTCACAGGCCCAAAATTCTAGAAATTAAGTCACTGAAAATTGTGCATAAAATTAAAGAAGAAAGGCAATTTCTAAAACATTCTATTGCTAAGAAAAAAAACTTTAGTTTGCTAAGCATACCTACCATGAAAAACATGTACTACACGAACGACTAACCAGCCGGGGAGATAGCTCAGTGGCACAAGCACCTGCCTGGCAAGTGTAAGGTCCTGAGTTCTATCCCCAGTATCAAAAGAAAAAAAAGACTTAAGAATGACTAACCATCTAGCCAAACTAATGGTAAAACTACTGTTACAACTTGTAAGCAGATGTCCCCTATAGCTACATGCACTCATAGGATGGGCTATTTGGAGGTGGGTAGATCCAGGTGTGTGAATATGGATGAAGAGTGTGATACCTAAATTAATTCAGTGATTGGTTGAGCTCAGTCCTAGGTACAGATAATAGGAAGGCCACCCTAGGTATGTGTGCTCCCAACCAATAAGCATGTAGCCTGGATGGGATTAAAGGGAAAGGAAGGCTTGCTGCTGTGTTTCCTGCTGCCTCCTGCATGCTATGCCATGAACTGTTGTTCTCCTCTGTACACAGCCATGCGAACCTGCCTTACAGCCAGCCTACTTTGGACTGAAACTTCTTCAAATGTGAGCTAAAATATACACTCCTCCTTTAAGTTACGGGTGTCCCATAATATGACAATCAAAATAACTATGATATCTGTACTGGACGATGTCACAAAAGTGAAAATCCTGCTTTAAGGATGAGCTCAAAGGAGAGAACTTATATATAAGTCTTAATTCTTAAATCCTATACATTCTATTAAAGCAATATATAGAATGCAGATTCGAATTAATTAAAGCAACATATAGAATGCAGATTCAAATTAAAGTGAACAACAACAAATTTCATTGAGGTAGTGATGTGTGTATTTAAATGCAAGATGGGACAGCTACCTCTACTCAATGGAACTGCTTTAAATTGTCGCACTGCCTAAAAATACACTTCCTCAAAAATTGCCCTCATAATAGTATTGGGTCTTCTACTTGACTGGCAATGTCAGAAACTGTTGACCAGAGTCCCCTACAGCTCAACATAACAGCATGGCTTTACTATTTATACTTCGTTTTTATACTTTTCTGTTATGGACTACTGGACTCTTTTGGAATATTTTGCTGAGTTCCCACACCTATAATATTCAAATGATGGAACTAAACAAAAAAGGGGATACAGATGAATGTCCATTTTGTATCTGTGTATTCAAAATGGTTAGGATAGATATATAGTTACATTCTCTTAATGAATACAGGGATTCGTTCTAATGGTGTTTGGAAATAGGATATCATGTCCGCATTTTGTACAGTAATTAACCACTAGGAAGAATGTATGCAATGTGTTAATTATTGAAACTGCCCTACCAACTTGATTTGAAACTGTCTCACTGCTATTTGTTTCTCAATAAAATTATGCAGAAAAAAAATTGCCCTCAGTTTGAAGGGCGGGGAGGGGAATGGGAAAAAAAAAGAAGCAAGACAGATCATACAGTTACAAATTCCATATGATGAATGTTATCATTATACACATCTAAAACGTAACAATAAAATTTAAAATGTCTTCATGCAAAGGAAAACTTGGATTTCATCATAACAGAAAATTTACATTAAATTAGGGCTTCAACAAACTGATACAATGGTAGGAAACAACCTATTTCCAAGAGGTCTTTTTATAGGGCCGGAGAGATGGCTCGGTAGAATAAGCGCTTGCCTGGCAAGCACAAGGGCCTGAGTTCAAGAGGTCTTTTTACTAGGAGATTCAACAGAATAACATTATAAAATTCATTCGTCTAGTAATAAAAACACCATTTATTTAGTAGATTCTTAAAATATGAAAAAAGACAAATGAAGCAATTTATCCACAAAAATCCATCTCCCAAGAGTGTAGGGGATGGGCTGGGGAGATGGCTCAGTAGAATAAGCACTTGCCTGGCAAGCACAAGGGCCTGAGTTCAATCCCCAGTTCGGTTAAAAAAAAAAACTATTATAATGAATTACACATGCACTAATTAAAGGGCTTGGACTAGAAATTAGCATAGAAAAGAAATTTTTAAAGAAAACCAAATGGGAAGGACTGTACAAAGCACAAAAAATGTTTGTGATAATTAATTAATTTCATCTTTTTCCTAAATATGGAATTTTTAAAATATTTTTTGGATTTCTTAAAGCAAGACATGGATGATAGTATTCTCTTTTAATACTCGAACATGAAGAAAATATCTAGAGGCGCTGGTGAGATGGCTCAGTGGTCTAAAGCACCTACTTAGAACAAGCTTAGCAAAGCACAGGGACTGCAGTTCAATCCCCCAGCACAACATGCCAGCCAGCCCCGCCCCCTGGTGGGCTGAGTTGGCCACACACACACACACACACACACACACAAATGAACAAATAAAATAAAATAAAAAAAGAAAGTATCTAGAAGGCACACTTGAAAGTTCTCAAAGTATATCAAAGGATGGTTTATTAAGTTTTCTGTGAGAAATAAAAACTGATAAATTTTACTTTGTTTTTCAGTTAAGAAATAGATAAACTTTCTCCAAGTCTTTGTAGATAAAGTAGCCTAAAAATACTAAAAACTAAGCAGGCAAACAAATAATATTACTTCTATTTCATGGTATTTTATGAACAACTAAATTTTTACATTAAAGACAAAAAATTTATTTTATAATTATCCAAAAGCACAGGTGTCAAGAAACTAAGTTTCATCTTTGATGCATATACCCTGGGGTCTATACCTCCTGTTATCTTAACTACCCTGTATCACCACATTAAAGTATTTTTCCTTCACATAGTCCCTACCAAGTTGAAGAATCATAAAATAAGTAAAATAAAATAAAATATAAACTCTGAAGAGAAAAGGGATCAGAAACCAGTGGAACTTTTAAAAAATGCAATCACAGTAAGGAATAGTATACCTGTCCTACTTTAAACTACCTGCTAACAAAGATGAGTTTTTTAAAAAAATACCTGTATAGCACCTAATCGTACAAAGACTAAAATAACAGAAACCTCATCCATCATCTATCTCAAGCCAAATCCAAAGTTCTCACTCATTTCAAAGGCAGTAAGTATATAAATATACATTTATTTAAAATAATTTGTTTTACCATTTAACTCTGCCTTTAAGCTCAAGCTAATGTGAACAAATCAGTGTTTTTAAAAACTCAATTAAGTTAACTAATTTTATATATCTGAATATATCATACATTTGATAATTTCACTAAGCTTCAAGATTAACCAAAGATATATTTTCCTACTGACTACCAAATACAATTATCTACAAACATGAAGACATAACTGTGAACAACAAAATCAATTCTTAAAACTAACAACTCAGGATGATCAGATGAAGAAAAGGTTCCACTGGGGAAAGCTAAAATAAAAGGTTATGATATTCATGTATGAAAATGTCATAATGAGACCCATACTCTGTAGGTGTGCAATAACAATAATAAATGTGCAAGAATAACATTTTAAAAAGAAAAGGCTTTGGAATTTTGATAAACATTTTAGGGCTATAGCTACTGATATTTTTATGACATATGTTAAGAAATGTGTATTTCCAATACTACCTTTACCTAAGATTCAACGATACTGATTTAATGATACAAAGAAAGGGGCTGGGGAGATGGCTCAGTAGGATAAGCGCTTGACTAACAAACACAAGGATCTGAGTTCAATCCCTGGTTCCGCCAAAAAAAAAAGAAAAGAAAAGAAATCAGATTAATGATACAAAGAAAAAAAGCAACTTACTTGGCCATAAAACTATATCTGGAATTCGCGGAAACATTCCTTCCCTGAGCAAAAATATCTCATGAAGACAATGACCTGTTTTGTGGTTTGAAAAAGAAAAATGCAAAAACATCTTAGAGGAAAAATGTTTAATTAAAAGTATATATATATTAAAATGTAAAATAGCTTACCATGAGCTCTAAATACTCGATCATCTGCCTCTTGTGAATATGAAATACTGGTTTCTTTAAGTTCATGAAGAAAATCTTCATTTACAATAGAAGGAGGTGTATCACTAGGATTTAAGGATGCCTAAAAAAATAAAAGTAGTTTCTTTAACTTATTTCTAGAAAATAAATTTTGAATACTCCAGTAAAGGAAAATGACTATATAATATAGATTTCTTTTTTATATTCAAAGACAGAAATAGGAAAATATCAAGAGATGTACACAGAAATCAACTTGGTGATAGTAGCCGATTACAGAATACAGAAGATCTGGTTAATCATATCCTGTAACATAAGTTACAGAAACCCTGTGCTTTCTCTTTGCTCCTATGCTCTACGTTGTCATCATTTTGCAATCAAACTACAATCAAGAACAGGTAAGACAGCAAAGTCTGAAATTTTCAACTTTAGATTAAGAAGACTGGGAAAAACCTACCTGTGAATTGCATTATCTACTTTTTTTACCTGTAGATAAAATGTATCATTTCTTATTCTTTAATAACCATTTAAAAATGGTTAAAACAAAGTTTTATATTAAGTTACAAAATCTTTTCATAGGCTTTAAGACTCATAAAATTGATAATTTCATCTAACAAGTATCTGAAAATCTAAATTTCAAAGTTAAAGCCATGTGACACTGGGCATATCATTCAACTTCTGTCAGCTTTGTTTTCCTTATGGTTAAATGAAATTATCATTACCAAATGTGTATTGCTACCATAAGGAAAGCAGGTGATATATGCTATTGTGTATATCTCTGTATGTGTATGAAAAGTACCTAATAGCATGTATAGCCAAAAAATAAATAAATAAAATAAAGCTATGGTACAGCAGTTATGAAAAAGAAAGCTGAAGAAATATAAGAAAAAACATATATTTCTATAAATTCTTACTGAGGTACTACATTCATTCATATAATACTTATTGATTGTCTACTATAACCTAAGCTAGGGCTGGCAAGATAGCTCAGCAGACTAAGCATCAGCTCTGGCAAGAGCAGGGACCAGGGTTCAATCCCCGGTTCCACATGTCGTGCTGCCCCCCCCACACACACACTCACCCCTGGGGCACGCTAAGTGGGCAAACGATTTCAGGTGTGGTAGTTCACGCCTATAATCCCAGCACTAGGAATGCCTAACACAGGAGGATCACTACAAATCCAAGCTGCATAGTGAGTCCCTGCACCAAATACATAAATGAAAACAATAAAAAATAAAAAATAAAAATATAATGTAAACTAGATATGGGGGATACAGGAATGAGATAAACAGAAAAAAGGAAACCTTGACCTCATATAAATATCCTGTAGTAGAAAAAAATTACAAAAGAACTCCAACAAAGTATATCAATTAATTTTTTAAATTATAAAAAAAAGTATTCAAAAGCTAAAACTAGCAAAAACTGTGAATACATTATGTCAATGTCAGAAACAGTAATCATAAATAGATGAAAGAAAAAAGAATTTACAAGATGAAAAAAGACAAGAAAAGTTATAATAATTTACTTTGAGGAGAAATTAGTTACTCAGTTTTATTTTATTAATACACTAATGTAAAAAAAATACACTAATGTAATAGTACATTTAAAAGCAAATCTATGGGGCTGGTGAGATGGCTCAGTGGTCTAAAGCACCTACTTAGAACAAGCTTAGCAAAGCAAGAGACCGCGGTTCAATCCCCCAGCACCACATGCCAGCCAGCCCCGCCCCCTGGTGGGCTGAGCTGGCCACACACACACACACACACACACACACGCACGCATAAATAAATAAAATAAAATTTTAAAAAAAAAAAAGCAAATCTACAAGTTTCTTTAACCATGACTCCCTCTTAGTATTATGCTGTGGAAGCTATCATGGAAGACATGGCTGCTGTGCTCATGAAACTTAACATCCAGCTGAGAGAGAGGCAGAATATATTACAGATAGCAAAACAACAGGAAAACTGTATAAGAATATTAAATATTACACTGATGTTATGTATACAATTTAGTTTTTTAAGCAGAAAAATGCAGCCACCTGACCAAACTAAAATTCTATTATCATCCATATCTTAATCAAACTTTTATATTTTTAAATCTTAAAATATTTCACATTCTAACACAGTAAATATAACATTAGATTTTTAAAGTATTCTACATTTATCCTAGATTACTGTCCATCTACTATTTTTATTTTTATTTTTATTTTTTATTTGATACAGGGTCTTACTTCACAGTTCAGATTCATAATGATCTTCCTATCTCAGCCTCCCCAGTGCTGGGATTATAGGCATGTACCACCACACCTGGTTTCAGGGCTGGCACAGTGCATTCAGAGTTTCAAGGTCAGCACAGCATGCAGGACTGGGGATCAAACTCGTGTCCTTGTGCTTGCCAGGCAGGCACTTAGACCACCAAGCCATCTCTCCAGCCCAAATCTACTATTTTAAAATGTCTGTTATCATTTAAATAGTAACTCTTTGTAACAAAGTACTCTCACGTATTAATTAATTTGTATTTCACATTACTCTGTAAAAGGTAAAATAGTTATTATTCCCACTTCTTAAATATAGCCAAAGATCAAAGATGATTTTTTAAATGCCAAATATCTCACAAAAATTCTGAAATTAGGAACAGATCTGTAACACAGAAAACTATACTCACAAAGCCTAACAAAGCCAACATAAATTGATAGGTTTCATAATAAAAGCCTATGACAACCATATTAAAGCAAATACAACAAATCACAAAGATAAATCTAATAAATTTGGGATGAGAAGCACAGGTATGTTTGATAGTAATTATTCTTATTTACTTACTTTAGAGGTAGATTTTTGGTCCATATTTGTTTCAAAGGTATTTTGGATCCAATCTTTAAAAGTTGGTAACGCCACACCACTAAGAGGGTACCTAGTGTAGAAAAAACAAAAAACAAAAACAAAAAAAAAATTAGAGCAAAGTATTTTCACTTAAATTTGAAGCTTATGGTCTCCATTATGACCAAGAAACTCCTTCTGAAGCAATCTTCTCAAATATAAAATAAACTCTGCAATAAAAAAACAAAACCCAACTATCTAAAGATACTGTAAGGGCTGGCCAGATGGCTCAGTGGATTAAAGTTGCCTGCCTAGTCAGAGCGCAGGGCCAGGGTTCAATCCCTGGCCTGCCATGCCATGCTGGCCCCAGGGGATGCTGAGATGGCAACTGAGACTGGGCGTGGTGCCATGCGCCTATAATCCCAGCACTGGAAGACTAAAAACAGGAGGATCACTACGAGTCCGATCTCCATAGTAAGACCCTGTAGGCCCCATACATAAAAATACATAAATAAAAACACTGTAAATAGACCAAAAGCAGACAAAAATAGGAGGAAAGGAATGTGCTACTTTTAGAAAAAGGAAAAGGGTTTTGAGGGTGTTTTTTTTTTTTTTTTTTTTTTTTTAAACTAGCTGCTAGCCTGAGAGAAAATCCCTGCTGGTACCAAAAACGGTAATAAAAATACTGAAAACCAAGTTTTTCTGGCTTAAAAAGCCAGCAGAGTGTTTGAAGTCAACAATAGCATCTGGAAAGTACAGATGAAAGCCAGAGTTAGAAAGGGCCCTACGTATCAGCTTTGTCCAAATGTCCAACTGACCCTGACTCACATGTGTATGAAGTACTCTATGTACTGAAGTCTTCCAAACAGGCCACTAAACCTAAAAGAATGCAACAGACAATTCAGCTGCTTACCACTATAATGGGACAGAATATCGAGTTTGCAGTCAATCAAGTTAACTGTCTGATTTTAAAAAAGAAAAACTTCTGCAGAACAATGTAACAATCCCGAATTTCTACAGCATAACAACCACAACATCCAGGATACACTGCAAGATTACTACACATGCATAAACAAGAAAACGGGATCCATAACTCAAGTTGTTTTTTTGTTTGTTTTTTTTTTTTCACAACAAAAAATGGTCCTTTATTTATACTTTTGCAGTTAGTAACACATGACACAAGATTGCCTAGCAACTAATAGCTGACCTTAACCAGACAGGATGTCTGTCTCAGGACTGAGGTAGCTTATTTGCTTTAGGCACTGAGGCCTACATAATTCAACGTCTGAGATCTACTGTGCTATCTCCCCAACCTGGGATCTGTAATTCAAAAGGGCAATTAATGACAACCAGCCCAAAGAGACCCAAGATAGAAGAAACAGCACACAGGACTTTCCAGCAGCTAGAATAACTAGGTGAAGGGCTAATAGAAAACATATTCTCCTAGTGAATGACACAGTAGTAAGCTTTTTTTTTTTTTTTTTTTAAATGTATTTAGAGCAGGATCTACAGGGTCGCACTACACAGATCAGACTCAGAGTGATCCTCCTGTTATCAGCCTCCAAGTGCTGGGATTACAGAGTGCACCACCACGCCCAATTTGAACTGCTGTCTCAGTGCACCCTGGGGGCGTGCCCGGCACTGCATTTCCCCCCACCTCCAAGCAGGTGATTTAGTCCATTGAGGTATATGACCTAAATCTATTTTTTAAAAGAACAAAACAGAAGTTCTGTAATCAAAGCAGATATTCTACTGGTACCTCATTTCAGTTTTAACTTGAACCTCATTAATTACCTATAATATTAAGCATCTATTTATGTTTATTGTCCATTTGGATATTCTCAGGCTGGTGAGATAGTTCAGTGGTTTAAAGCACCTGCTTAGGCAAGCCTAGGCAGGCACAGGGGACCACGGTTTGATCCCCTGCAAGGTGGGCTGAGTTGGCCAAAAAAAAGAGCACATTTCGGTAGTTCTATTTAAACCAGTTCAAGGTTTTTGGTCATTTTTTTTCTAGTTATTTTCATTTTCTTACTGATGTATCAGAACTGTTAATGTTTCATAAAATGAGAGATTACTATACATTTTTCTTACTGTAACGTGCTTTTTTATTTTCTTACAGGTATCTTTCAATACCATTTTAATGTTCTTTAAAGTATTTTATTCTTTTAACTAATTAATACTTTTTCTTCCCTTGCTTTTTGCCCACTTCAAAGAATTCTGTGCTGCTCATTGACCCAGACCGAGCATGTGAGTGGGACCACCCGAGGCCTACCAGATCTTCATTGGACCCAGAGCCCAGGCCCAGCCTGTCATGAGTGAGACTGCCTGGAGCACACTGGATCCTCAATGGACCCAGAGCCCAGGCCCACCAAATGAGTGGGACTCCCCAGGACCCACCAGATCTTCATTTGATCCAGAGCCCAGGCCTGGCACCTGGTATGGAACCCTGCCGCAGAACTCCCTGCAGAGAGGCTAGAAGCAATACCCACCCAGCTGAACCAGGTACAGAACATCTTGCAAGAGTGGCACAGAGGGTTCACCTCCACAAGGGCTGCAGCAGGAAGAAGTGGAACACCACAGCCAGACCCAAGCCACACCTACCTGGACGAGTTTGAACTTCATAGATCCAAACCTGGTACTAAGGTAATAACTCTATCAAAGCTCTACACCAAAGAAGACAGTGCAATACAAAATGACAAAGAGAAGGAACAAAATGCATTGTCAGGCCCCAAACCCACCTAGAACAAATGCAGGAGACAACAGTATAGAAAAGTTGGAAACCACACACCTAAAATCTCTGAAACAATAGCTTCTGAAGTGAAGAAACAACTGCAGAAAGGTATAGAGGAAATCAGAGCAGAAATAATTTCTGAAGTAAAAAAAGAAATAACTATAATGAAAGTAGGACTAGGTGCTTCTAAATGAAGACACTGATAAAAAAAAATTTTTTTAAAAAACAGAATAGAAAAATGATGGAATCCCTGAATGAGCAATATAGGAAAGAAATAGAATGCATGAAGCAGATTCAAAGTGCTATACAGGAAATTAAAACTTCAATCACAAGCTGGCAAAACGGTTTGAACAAAAGTGAAAATAGACTTTCAGACCTTGAAGACACCATTGTAGCTAGTGAAAAGGGAAGAAAAGATCTCTTAAAAACAAATAGGATGTAGGAAAAAATAATCCAACATCTGCAAGATGATGCAAAGATGAACAATGTGAGACTAATAGGCATCAATAAGAAAGAAGTCAATACAAATGATATAAAAAGAATATGGACAGAAGTAATAGCAGAGGGCCGGGGAGATAGCTCAGTAGAATAAGCGCTTGCCTGGTAAGCGCAAGGGCCTGAGTTCAATCCCCGGTTCCTCAAAAAAAAAAAAAGATCAAGTTGAAAGTCACAAGAATCATGGCCTTGGAAAGGGCCACAAGTTCCACCATACTATTGGTTTGTTCTCACTGTGGAGCCTGGAGAAAGGGCAATACTCTCCAGCTCCACCATTACCGCTAATAATATGTCTATAAAATTCATAAGCCAAAAAACAATTTAGGACAGTTCATCTGCTTTAAAAGTGTTATCTGTTAAGTAGTCTACTGATTTATGAATGTTTTGTCAAATGGAAGTTAAAAGTGCAGTAATATTTGAAGTAATGGTGTATCTTTGTTTCTAGTAAGATAAGATTTTTTGTCTTTGCTTTATCTTACTAGGGGGTTATATGTCAGTGCTTGAAACATGCTGTGTAGTATAATAGGTGTAAAATAAATTCTTTAAAAGAGAAATGCTAAAAAAAGAAAAAAAAAGGAATAGCAGAAAACTTACCAGGTATGGGGAAACAATCTGACATTCAGGTAATCAAAGCGCATAGATAGATAGATAGATAGATAGATAGATAGATAGATAGATATAGATACAGATATAGATACAGATATGTTATACATAATTTATATGCTATATATATTTATATTTATATTTTAGGTAGGGGTCTACAGGGAGTTCAGGCACTCACTATTACATCAGACTTGTAGTAATCCGCCTGTTTACAGCCTCTCAAGAGCTGGGATTACAGGCGCGCACCACCATGCTCAGTCTCAACTGCCGTATCAGTGTGCCCCAGGGGCAGGGCCAGCACAGCAGGCCCAGGGATCGAACCCCTAGCCCCTGCACTGGCTTGCAGGCACTTTAATCCACTGAATTATTTGGCCAGCCCTAACTGAAGCATAAAGAACTCCAAATAACATCAACCCAATTAAAACCACACCTAGACATATAATAATAAATGGGACTGGGGAGATAGCTCAGCAATCTAAGCTCTTGCCTAAACATATAATAATTAAGATCCCAGCAATTCAGCACAGGAACAATACACTAAAAACTGCTAGAGAAAAGAAACAGATCACATTTAAAGGAAAACCCATCAGAATAACGGCAGATTTCTCTTCACAAACAATCAAGTCAAAAAGAGCACGGAGCAAAGTACTACAAGTGTTGCAAGAAAACAAATTCCAACCCAGACTGATATACCCTGCAAACTCTTTCAAGCATAATGGAGAAGTGAAATACTTCCATGACAAAGAACAACTTAAGAATTTCATGATGACAAAGCCAACCCTACACAGACTGCTGAAAGATATTCTAGAGAGGGATCAAAATGACCACAACTCCATGAACGAGAATGGAAAGAACCCACCAAATAGGGCAAATTAAACACAGGAGAAACAGAGGTATACAAAAGGGGTCTTTCAGCTATTCTTCTGTATACAGCAACAACATACATCCACCAGCATGCTCTACAAATGGACTTCTGCACCCTACATGGCATGATTCTATCTAGATCTACATGGTGGATATCAAGGAAATA